CTGTGTCATAGCTGCAATCGTATGGCTTGTCCTGCATGAAAAGATAGTCGGCCGACATCTGATTGCATTGGAAGAGAAGACCCTTAAAGGAGTAAAATATTTGTTTGTGAGGAAAAAAATCAAAAAAACTCACGTCCTGCTTGAAAAGGCAAGCAGAGCATTGCAGTAGAGCTCCCATTAGTTTGTGTGGATTCCAAGTGACACTGTTGGCTCGCTCAATTCCAGACAACTTATAGCGATGCTCTGGCGATAGCAACAAACCTCCTCCCCAAGCAGCCTAAAACGAAGACTTTTTTGAGTCATTGGGACCAAACAATCCTGAAAAATATCCTTACATCGACATGTAGCCATAATTTGTGTCGTTCACAGATGTCAGCAACTTTGTCGATCGGATCCATGGCTCCATACACGGTCGTTCCGGCCGTACAGCACACGAAAAATGGAACAAGACCTAAGAAAAAAATTTTCAAAGTATGTGGTTGCATCAGAAGTATGGTTCAATACCCTCTTTTTTGCATTCGATAATCTTCTGTTCCAGCTCTTCCGGGATCAGTCTGCCTGCATTGTCGTTAGAGATAGCAAAACACAGATCAGTACCGATACCACAGACTGCAGCAGCGCTTTTGATTGAGTAATGACTCTGTAAACTGATTTTAAGAACACTCTCACAGGATGAGCATTATCTGGTTTCTCTTTACTGATTTTTCACTCAAATCACTTCATTTTTTGAGCAAAATCATTGGGTTTCTAAAAAAATTCGTTTTACTTCTAATGGAATAGCAAATAATTTTTGAAAAAACTTACACTTTCGCTGGTGAAAGCGCAAAGTTGTGGAACGTCCTTGAGACCGACATATTTACTACGAGGGTACATTGCATGCCTGGCAGTTATCATCGCATAAAGATTTGCTAGAGCACCACCTAAAAAATTGCGACTATGTTTTCTATAGCTTATACTTAGAAATTTTTCGCTTACCGGGAGCGAAGATTCCATCGCTTGTCTCTGGATCCCATCCAATTGCTTCCCACATTCGCTTCATCACTGCTTTTTCCATAAGAATGTAAACAGGTGCTATTTCATAAGTGAACCTAAAAATTGTCAGTAACAGTTACTAGCAAAAATAATCCGCTTTGAGTGTTATTGTCAGCAAACTCATTATAAGTGTTATCTAGTAAGACAAATAGAGTTATTGGCAAAAGGAAGCTTTGCTGCTTTCCAAAAGCTTTCCTCGTTGACTTATACTGAATGATTAGCTTAAGTTTTTTGTTTTGTGTTTCAAATTACTAATAGACTCTAGATGGCTTTTCACATGAAAGACCTGTATAATTTGAGTAATGGATATAAGGACAACTTTCCCCCTCCCACCCTCTCCTCCATACCCTCCCTATAAAAATAAAGCGCAATATTTTTGGAAGTTGTCTACAAGTAATAAAATCATGCAAGTAAACGTTTCCATTACAGCTATCCAAGATTACATTAAGAAGATCGTAGAAGAAAATGAAGAAGAGAAGAAAATGAAGGAAATGTTGTTTTTTGGACGTCGTCATTGCCCGCTCTCCTCATTTGAAAGAATTCAGAGTTGCAATAGAAAAATGGAAAGCGTGCTAGAAAA